TTTAACTGGTTGAGGCAGTTGGCAGCCCACACCAGGTGGCAGCCAAAAGCCAAGTGTTGCCAGGTGTTTCCTCAAAGGGAATTTTGGGGTTATTTTTGTTCAGTCTCTGTCTTACAGTGTAAGTACCCAGCTGTGCTTTTTTTCATGAATTATTGCTAAGAAAATAAAACAAAATTGAATTAAATCGAATAACTGACTGTCTTTGAGGTGAAGCACGGCTCGGGGGTTGGTGTTACCTTCACTACAATGAGCTTCTTCTCCAGCGGTTTTCCATCTGGAAACTTCTCTCCAAAGCACATGGTGATGGTGTATTCAGGAGATCTACCATTGTTCTCCTTAAACTGTTTCCATTCTGAAACAAAATTCAGGAGGAGTCATTTATTTAAGGAAGAAATCCATTTTTACTTCAGTAGTCTAAGGAGCTTGAAAAGAAAAGTGTCTTCTTTAAGTTGCTTTAAGACGTTTCACCTCTCATCCGAGAAGCTTCTTCAGTTCTAAGGTCAAATGGTGGAGAGTCCCAGATTTAAGCCCTATGGGAGTGTCCACCCAGGAGGGACAATGGACCCCCTAATGATCCTCTACCTAATCACATGAGCCAAGGCGTGAAAATGGGTGTAGGTCACAATCAGCCAAGTTTTCGGGTGAACTCATTATGAAACCAAGCGCCACCCTATCATGCGATTTCCAGAGGTCAGAAGGCCCAGGATGTGAGTGGGCGTTAAGGCGCCTGGGAAGGGATCTCAAAACTGGATTATGGATGGCAGTTGGTGCCGTGAGCCACCTCTGTTTGAAAAGAGGTGTTGGCTTACGAGGTGAAACGTCTTCAAGCAACTCAAAGAAGCCCAGACGCTTTTCTTTCCAAGCTCCTTAGACTATGATGACCTAGATGACTAAGAACCTTCACAGACAGTATATGGTGTATTATACAAATATATAAATGAGCAAAGATCTACACCTACCATTCACAAACTTTTCAAAATTAAGGAGCTCCACCATGGTGTTTTGGGGAAGCTTTGCTGGCTCTGCATTAGCCAAACTAGGGTCACTGGTGCTGGCAAACACATGGCATCTATCCTGCCTCCAGGCATAAATACCAGTTTCTTGCACTTCCAAGAATAGACCTCTCTGGATGCTATTGAGTATGCGGTTGGTGTATTCAATCTGGTAATAAGAAGGTTGTGGTGAGTAAAACATGAAAATGCTTCATCACACAGCAGTATACTGTACCTAAAATTAGGGGTAAAAT